AGTCGATCGAATCACCAAGGTGTCGACCGGTTCATGCAAACCGGTTGACCTGTGCACTAAACCGGTCGACTGAACTGTGACAGTTCGTCTTCCACGGCTCCGGCGACTACGTCTTCCTCCGTTAAGGTCCTAAGACTACTGTTTTAAGTCCAAAACAACCCTAAACATTATGCAAACCTCTTATGCATAATTTAAACAAGTTAAAATCACAACTTATATGATAAACTTTAAACAAAATTCAAACATATACATATACAATTAACATACTGTAATTCAAGTTTTAGCATGCATAAATGGTTGATTTTTAATAACTTAAAGTTCCTGGAGACTACCTAGGCATGCACAGAACACAGGTTTAAGGGAAGGAGATAGAAATAGAACTTGCCTTTAGGTTTCAGTTTGAAATCTTTCAACGTCGTCTCTAAGTTCCGGCAACCCCAAGTAATTCTCCTCCTTTGCTCACTGTTCTATTCCTCTGTTACTTCTTGGTTCAACCCACAAGTAACTCCCTTCAATAATTCCTTGAGCCTCTATATGTTTCGCTCAAGCCTCTCTCTATTCTCTTTTTGTTCTCTCTCAAGAACCCTTACATGAATAGGGTTTATTTTCCAACCCTAGCCGACGTATACCATTCAATATATATAGGCATTTACTTAAACCTAATTTTAATTCCCAACCTAATTATAAGATGGCTAACCTAATTACATAAAATAAAACCCTAAACTATATATAACACCTACAAAATATAAACTAACTAAGTCACACAAGCCATTAAATAAAACACGTCACTTAAACACCAATTAAAGTAAACAATGAATTTAAACTAAATAAACAATTACAATTAAACATATAGCCAGATATTAAATATTTAAATGCACATAAACCAAATAATCAAATAAAATGCACATAAAACAAATAATCAATTAAAATGCACATAGAACAACAATTAAATTCCAATAATATCCTTTTGAGAAATAGGGGTATTACAATTTGGCCCTTGGTCACACATCATGCATATTAAATGAGTCCTAGTGAGTGTGCTCGTACAAACTTTGCACCATCCAAATTGAAAATGACACGCTAAAATCTCAAATTTCATAATATTGCCTTCAAAAGCAAATTATGAATCCAAAATGCATAAAAGAAAACAAAGTGGTGTTTGACTCTTGAACACACCTCATACATATTAAATGAATGCCAAAAAGTAAATTTATATACGTAATGCATACTTCGATGCAAAAATAACATGTCAAAACCCTTAATTTTCATATTATTCCCTTTAAAGGTAAAATTCAACATTTAGTCCATACTTGTGATTCCAAATGAAGTTTGGCCTTGGCCACATATCATACACATAAAGTAAGTGCCAAAAAGTGTACTCAGGTACACGTTACATGTTTCAAGGCAAAAGTGTTATTTTAGCCTAACTATGCATTACAACTTAAAATGGCAAAATGATACATGCTAACACTTGTATGCTCGTTAAAATATATCAAAGTACTCCAAAATAAACAAGGTAACCTAGGAATGTTGTGCATCCCAAACCAAGGTATCCGTACCTGAAAAATATCCCAACAATTAGGGTGAGTAAACAAGTTACTTGTAGGAAGAAGTGCATGCGTATACCATAAAGTTTCAAGTGTTATGCAAGTTCAATATAAATCATTACAAGGGATCATTCCTCCTAATGTCAATATTCCAAGGTGAACTAAGGGATCATCTCAAGCTACACAAGCAATTGAAATAAAAGACAATATACAACTATACATACTCAAGTATACAAGGCAATATTGAAACGTAATGCACCACATATAAGTATATACTTACAAGTATACTAAACAATATTAGAACAAGATATTCAATATACAAGTATACATACACAAGTACACAATTAATATTGAAATACACGTAAATCAAGTATATAAGGCACAAGTATACTAGGCAAAATTGAAATACGTACAAAACAAGTATACAAGGTACAAGTATACTAAATATAATTAAAAAACACAAGAAGCAAGTATACTAAATGGAATTTCAAAACATACGTAGCAAGTATACATGGCACAAGTATACTAAACATAATTGAAAATGCAAGAAACAAGTATACAAGCTCAACTACACTAAATGGAATTCAAATACACGAAACAAGTATACAAGTGTAAGTATACTAAATGATATTGAAACGAAATACATGGCATACAAGTATACAAGTTCAAGTATACTGAACCATAATGAAATCTCATGCCCCAAATCACAAGTTACAAGTAATCAACGATTAACAACTTGGAATTGAATGCGAAATCAAGTAGGTGGAAAAACTAGGACATGTGGTGTCTAGACCAAGCAAGTTGTTCTGGGTAATTACGACCCACAAAGTACTACTTAGTGCGCACTTATGATACAGAGAGACTCTTGTCTCCCGTACTAGAACCAAACCCTAGCCATCATATACATTATGTCCTTACAAGCTTTCCAAAATCAACAAGTTCAAAACTTTACAAATAAATAATGCAAGTAATCACGTTCCATGCATAAGTAAGGTTGAAGCCACACAAACCATGTCCTATAATTTCAAGTCTAAATGGCATACAAAATGTCACAACTTCAATATGCAATTTGTACATAAAATAAGAATATTGTATAACAATCGAGTCGAATTACCATCCTAAGCCACAAGTACTAAATAAGCCACAATTTAGTAACAAGCTTTCAAGGTAATCAATTGTGATATTCTTAATAAGCAATATAATTATACAAGATATATTTAAACAAGTTATACAAGACAATGATATCATATATCATGCTAAGTCAAATTATCATTTTAGGAGTCAACAAGTATTAATCTTATAACAAATTAGTAACATGCTCACAAGGTAATTAAATGTATTATTTTGTAAGAGATCATCATTCCAACATGAAAAGTCTCTAGAATTAAAGAACCTAGTAAATGAATCAATTTACTCACGACAAGACATACATGCTTCCAAGGCCTTGAATTATTAAACAAGCTATATAATGCATATAAGTTATAATTCCACAAGTCACTAATTATCATGTTATCTCTACACAACATATATATATAAGCTAGGCATGCTTTATTTCATGAAACAAGCTATATAATGTATATAAGTTACAATTTAACTAGCTATACACATATATACACCAAACATGCTTTTAAATCATTAAACCTTAAGTCATTTCAAGGACTTTCCATGTATATACAAGACTATGATTTAACAAGCATGTAAAAAATATATATTAAGCCCCCAAAACACTAAAACACTTAGGATATAAATATACAACAACCCCTACCTCAATTTGAGATGAAATCTCAAAAACCACCAAACGGAACCTTTCCGAATACAACGCCACTTCGGGGTTTTGACTGGGACAACGAAGGGAACAACAGACCCTCTTGTAGCAACACCAAAATCTAAACTTAGTCAAATTCCAAACTCAAAATTTGGCCAAAACGGGATTCCAATTGGTTGGAATCGAAGGCCTCGTCAAGGCCGACATTTATGCCTTCATCGGTCAAGGGAAAATCCAAGAGAAATGAGATTAAACAGGCAAAAGAAGAGAAAAGGGTGTGGAATTGAAATGGGCGGCAGCCATGGGAGGGGCAGAAATTTGATGGTTTCTACCTCCTCCCCTCCTATTTATAGAATTCTCAAAAAGTGCCCCGAACGGGTCCCACGCGGCCCCTAAAAGTGAACCATTTAGACGCTTTCAAACGGCAAAAATTCGTAAACAAAAAGGCACCATCGTGACAAAAAATGAACAACGGAAGAAACGGCGTTAAAAACCAAGTTCCGTGCAGAAAGATATGCCCCGAGCAAGTTTAGCAACAACCGGGGTCAAAAACCCTAAAGCTGGAGAAAACGACCGGAATTCAATTCTAAGAGTACACGACTTGATGAAACATGAAAATGAACCTCGTATGAGGATCCAAGCCCAAAATAGACACCTTACAATTAAATTTTATTAATTGCACAAAGGCCCCTACACAAAAGGATAACTACACAAGTGACCTCAAATGAAAATATTTTTCAAAAGATACTTTCTTAAAAACCCCTAAGACAAAATATCTTCAAAAAATATTTACGAAAAATACCCCAAGAAACAAAAATGTTTCTAAAGGAACTCTTTATCCATGCCCCCGCGGGAAAAAGAAACAACCAGCGAGCTTTTCTTCAAAAGTAAAGTGACACATTTCAAGGAAACCAAATGGAATGAAAGTATGTGAGGCCAAAAATCAACCCCGAACGCAAAAAGTGAGGTTACACAAAAGAAAATATCAACGGAAAAAGAAAATTCGTAAAAATGGAAAAAAGGAAAGGAAAATGACCGGGTCATTACAGGCCAAATAACAGGACTCTAAATGTTAAAAAATTAGGAAAGGGGCTTACATATATATATATATATATATATATATATATATATATATATATATATTTTAGGTAAGTAAATTTTATTTGTTCTTTATGTTCCAAGCATTCCATCACTTGGCTTCAAAATGTTCACAAATCCCAATAAAATTAGGATAAGCCTAGAGTTGTCGCCGGTTAATCTAGATGTACTTAAAAACTAAAACCAATGCAATCAAGAATTGGTTTTAAGTTCCAAAAACGGTATTCAAATTTTCTATTAAGAAATGTAGAAATAATTCAAAAGCAAGTTTAAAAATAAATTAAAATAAATCAAATTGAATAAGTTAAGCATGTGTTAGAAGCTGTACAAAAAAAATTCTTATATTAGAAATTTGAATCAACACATCTCACCATTATTAAAGGAAATTACAGCACATTACAACCAAATTCATACCTCGAACTAGCAAAAATTGGTTCAAGATTTTAGAGGTGATGAGCTTCGATTTAACACTATAAATATCTTCCAAAGAAGATTGGAATTTCACCAAATTCATTCTATTCAACAAATTCAAAAAAAGAACATGGGTTTGAGATTAAGTCTTAAGACAATTTCTCTGCTGCTAATTCTAGCACGTTTATGATGTAACAAAATTTGGTGCCAAGCCCAATGCAGATATTAGTAGACAGGTGAGCGCTATATATATATATATACACACACACACACATATATGATGTCCAAGTCCTATGAACTTAAATAATTTTGTTTGCAATCACTCATTACTCATTCTTGATTTTTAGGCTATATTGACTGCTTGGAGAATGGCAAGTGGAACGAGAACTGCAAGCACAATTATAATTCCTGCGGCCACATTTTCGTTAAGTCAGGTACTTCTTAAAGGTCCTTGTGGTGGATTGAGCTCAAAGGCATCCTGAAGGCCCCTCCTCTCAATCAAATCAAAGCTGATGCCTGGGTTGTTTTTCAAAGTGTTGACCGCTTAAGCCTATCAGGTGGTGGAACTTTCGATGGCATGGGTGCCGAAGCTTGGAAAACTTGTGTCCCAAAGAAAAAAATGCCCTCCACGTCCTTCTGTAAGTAGATTCATATAAATATGTATATATGTATATATATATATTTGCTTCTGAAATTTTAAACATTAATTAATTTGGTCCATATGTGTAATTTTCCTTAACGAGTTGTATGTCGTCTTTGTGACTGGATGATATATAACATGCAGGGTGTAAGGTTTAACTATGTAAACAATTCTATGATCAATGACATAACTTCCAAGGACCCCAAAATGTTTCGTATTACTGTTTTCGGAGGCAATAATGTGACTTTTCAAAGACTACCATCGTTGCACCACAAGATAGCAGAAACACTGATGGGACTCCACATTGCACGTACAAGCAACATAAAGTCCTTGATTCAAAAATAGGAACCGGGGATGACTGCATATCATTTGGCGATGGTGCCCAACATATTCACATTGAAAAGGTGAAATGCGGACCTGGTCATGGCATCAGCATTGGAAGTCTCGGCAAGTACCCAAATGAACAACCTGTTTCTGGAATTACAGTTAAGGACTGCACCCTCACTGGGACAATGTATGGAGCAAGAATAAAAACATGGCGTGGATCCCCTCCTAGCACCGCCTCTGATATTCATTTTAACGGTATTACCATGGACAATGTTGCAAACCCCATCATCATCGATCAAGAATACTGCAACGCAAGATTTAAATGCCCAGCTAAGGTACTTAGACTAAAAATCAATCAATTTTATTAATTTTTTTTTTTTTATTGTTTTCTTTTTCAACAAACAAAGAAATTTAACAATTTCATTGATTTGCTAATCATTTTCGATGTTTAATTTCAGCCTCCATCAAAAGTTCAGATCAACAAAGTGAGCTTCAAAAACATTAAAGGCAGCTCCTCAACCCCGGCTGCTGTCAAGCTTGTTTGTAGCAATGATGTGCCATGCGTGACATTGAGCTGACACATAATGGAGGCCCTGCCAAGCCCAAAATTACAAATGTTAAGCCAATTGCTTCTGGCAGAGTAAATCCTGCACTCGGAAGAGCTTAATCTTCTTGGTTCTAATCAACTCCAAAGGAAGGTTGAACAAAAGTTGTTAAGTGAGTCGCTAATTTTCTCCTATTCATGTTAAATGCATGTTATTAGCGTTGACAAAAGCAGTGTATTGTTTATTGATAAATAAACACTTACTGGATTTATCTGATGGGCCTTACAATTGAAAATTATAAAATTATTTAATTCATATTGTTATGTCAGTTTCTTTTTTCAGATGTACGTTTGGATTGAGGTTATTATCCTTGAGACTTCAATCATTGCGACTTTTGCTAGTTTTGTTGGAAGAGAGTATGTTTCATCAGTCCTGCCACATAAAAATTCCTTAAAAGAAAATGAAGCAAACATATATACAAATTTTATATAAGCACATATATACATAGTCATAAACCATTTAGTTGATTAAAAAAAAGTACTCTGTTATTGAATTCCTCTAAATACTGAATATGCATTTTGATCAAATATCAAAACCAAAGAAAAGATGATCATGTCAATTCCTTTTTAACTACGTTTCCTAAGTTGCAATCTCATTCCATGAGATTAGCTGAAGTAGCAGGTGATGCACCTCCAAGTTTTGCAACATCCAATTAACATGACCTTGTTAAAATATTACAAAGAAGATGGGGAGATAGATGGTGATGTACTAAGTAGGATTGAAGCCAAGAGAACAAAATAGAGGCTAGGTTGTCGTGTCCTTTATAACAAACGAATACCAAATAAATTAAAAAAAAAAAGAAAAAAAAGTATAGAGTGGAGTGTTGAAAAATAAATAAAAAACATCAAAGGAGAACATTAGATATTAGCGACTATAAATAATAAAAATAGAGAAAGTACACTTAGGTGGTAAAGTCATATCAACCCAAGCCAGATGATGCACCTTTTAAAAGTATAAGAGTTGTTTGCTTAAGAAGGTAAAATACAAAGGGGTCAGGAAAAAGAGAAGATTCTATTTATTTATTTATTTATTATTTATTTATTTATTTATTTTTTATTCTCTTTAAAAATTTTGTATTCCCTTTATTCAATCAATGCTTTATTTTTACCCTTTAAGTTTTCTCATTTTTTTTTCTTTTTATTTTTTTCTTCTTTTTATTTTTTTCTTCATTTGTTTTTATTATTGTAGTTAAACAAATATAACGAATTCTTTTTAAATTTTAAAAAAAAAAAAACCAATATAATGTAAGCATCATTTTTAAAAATAACTCAAACATTTTTTCATGAAATACTGTACAACAAGTTAGTTACCAAATATGTTTAATGACTCAGTCATTTCCTTCTTCTTTTTTTCCCATTTTTACGGATTTTTTTTTTCCATTAAATTTTTTTTTTTTTTCTTTTTCGAGTTCGGGTTTTTGTCTCTTTAGGTTGTCTCAAGTACTCGAGAATAGTTCCCGAGGCTCTTTCTTTTGGATTTATGTCGTCTTGGTGAGGACCATGTCGTCTTCACATTTTCTTTCGTCATTTTCCCGGTTATCGTTTCCTTTCACGTAACCTCACTTTTTGTGCTCGGATTTGATCTCAGCTTTGCATGTATCCATTACATTTGATTTCTGTGAAATACGTAGTTTTACTTTTTAGAAAAAAAAGCATGCTACTTATTTACTTTTCGTAAAGGGCATGGATGCATAGTTTCTTCGGAAACATCTTTACTTTGAAGGGTTTTTGTGTAATTAAATATTGTAATTATTTTCATCTTAGGGAACATTGTAATTTAATTTATAAGATATTTGAAGGGACCTTTTTGCAATTTTCGGAATGTGTGACAAGTGTCACACTCTCATTGGTCCACTTGTAGGCATTTGTGTGGAAACACTTGGATGCCTTGGATGATGATTTATAGAGGGTGGAGATTCACCCACTTGTTGGTCTAGGATATTATGATACCCCTCGGATCCGAGAACGGGTTGATCAGGCCCAGACCCAAACTCGAGGCAATATCAAACAATTAATATTTTAAAAACGAACACAAATGACAAAATGAAATAAGAATAAATATTAAAAGCTGAAAGAAACTAAAATAAAATCCTTTAAAGATAAATACTTAAATCCCAATACTCCAAAACCTCCGATAGATTAAACAACTCGGGAATCCATCTCTAGTGGACCCCTAATAAAAATCCCAAACTAAATAAAAGTAAATATCTGAAGGTAAAATCCAAATCTAACATCTGGAAAGAAGTCCTACGTCGTTGGTAGAATGGAAGATCGTCTCTGCTCAGCCCGAACAAGCTCTAAGCCTGGAACCGTCCGATACCTAAAAAAATGATAAGTGGGTTAGGCCCACTGGCAAGTTCTATACTACTACAATCCAAGCAGAGACCCGATACGCATGTACATCCTAACCAATCCAACAATAACTAAGTAGTCCGTAGATACATATATATATATTCACACTACAAGACTCTCATTGGACTACAGGCCCGTCTCAACTTGACTAGTAAGCACCATGCAAAGCGCACCAGGGGTGGGCATGACTACCTAGACCTAGCAGGGTACACATTCAACTATCATAACTAGCTATGCATCCCAATTCATATACGCTCCCTAACCAATGACTCTGAGACTCAGGCTCATATCGTGGTACCATAAAAATATATTTAAAATCCATTCCATACCAAAAGTGTCACTCAACTATTTAGTGATCTGACACAAAATACAGGTAGGACTTAACTTTTGTAATTAATCCATCCCTTAATCCATAGTAGGTAGGACTTAACGTTTTTGAGCTAATCCCCCTAGTATGTCACTGTCCCATTTCGGTGCATACAAACCATCCATCCAGTGTTAATAATATAGATAATAGTAAACATATTAATATCAAGATATCCAATGCAAGTATAACAAGAATGTGTAAAATAGCATGTTTGTCCAATACTACTAGTACATGATTCTCTAACAAATTTAAAACGCGGAGAATAAATATAACCATCCTATAATCCACAATAAGCATAATAATAATAATATTAACATGCTTGCTTGTAACTATACCACATACTCAGCAAGTTGATAAGATCCACAATTTTGTAAACATCAACTAATTCCTTATTAAGCACCACAGAATTTATATAAGTTGACATGCTTAATCTCATACCCCTGCTACATGATTTAAATATTAAACTCCTAATTCAATTACTAATTTAAAATTAAACAACTTGAATCATCCGCAACAAAGCAACCATGTAAACTTCCTTAAAAGTTTTATACTGTACCTTATACTAACCTCCTATGGTACAATATGTATTTCCATGCCTTCTAAAGTTTTAATAGGAATTTAAACATCACTGAGAACCTCTAATTAAACCCTCAGTTGACCCTAGAAACCCATTAACCCAAGCACAGTAGCTAACAGTCTCGTAGAAAACCGAAAAAACTGAAAACCCTCGAAGGAGCCGGCTCCCTCAAAGAGGGAGCCGCCTCCAATAATGGTGGAACCGGCTCCGCACATGGTGGAGCTGCCTCTAAGGCCTTAAGAGCTAGCTCCACTCATGGTGGAGCCTGCTCTACTCTTTGGTGAGCCTGCTCTTCTCAAAATAGAGCAGGCTCTTCCCTTGTTCCTTTGTCTTCTTCAATTCCGGCGGTGTCCGATTACTCTGTTCCTCCAACCCAAGGTTCTTACTGATTAAAACTAAGTTCTAGTGTGTTCCAGAGTTAATTAAAATTATTTATCATTAATCAACTCCAAAAAGAACAAGAATTATGCAAAACAGATTAAAACAAACAAAATACGTAAGCGGAAACACATACTGTTTTAAACAAACTACATGCAACCAAAAATTAATTTAACTTTTATTTCATCCTGGGATTGCATGAGATTTGGTTCAAAAATCTCAACGTCTTTCTCCTAAGCTTTACCGGCGATCCTTCGGTTTTCCCTCTCTGTTCTCTCCCAGACTCCTCTATACATCTCTCTGTTTTCAGTATGCCGTGAATAGGGTTCTAAAACCCTAAGCAAACCCCTAATGATGTATTTAAAGGCTTCCTCCAAAACCAAATTCTAAGTGTAATAAGAGACGGATAACTAAGTTGGCTACAACGAGAAGAAAACTAGAACAAAACCCTAAATTTCAATAATTAATTTACACACTTAAACCATTATAAGAAATCAATTAACGAATAAAGGAAACAATTTAAGATAAAATTAAGTCAACTTAAAATAAAATCCAATTAAATAAACAATTAAAGAAAACAACCAAATAAAACAAGTCATTTAAATAATTCACAACTAAATCAAACAAAGTCACAATTAAATAAATTAAAATGCAATTAATCAATTAAATAAATACCCGGACTATCCTTTTAAAATTAGGGATATTACAGATATGTGCACTTGTGGAAGAAAAAAAGATAGTGGAATTTGGTGGGATTCTCCACTCACTATGTGCACTAGCACTACCTCTCACACACACACAACTCATCCACACCCTCCACGTACTTATCAACCAACCAAGCCTCCTCACAAGATCACATTGTTTTTGGACCACTTTCCTTGACATTTGAACTTAACCTTTTGGAAACAAAAGCTTCCCCTCACCTTCCTCTTCAAAACCCTTGAAGGGTTTCTTGAAAAACCTTTGCTTTCTTTGGATTCTAGAGAGACACTTCTCTAGTGAGGTAGGGTGTTTCATGTTTATAAGCTTAGTGTTTTATGTGCTTTTGGGGTCTATATAACTTGTATGCAAGTTTATATATGAATTTTTGAATTGTATATAGTTATACCTTGCATGGAAATAAGTTTTGACATGATATTATTAAATGCCTTGATTTGATCTTTAATATATATAAACTTGGAATCATTTGGACTTGTTTTGAAATCTTGGGAAATTAATTAATTAATTTAACTTAATTCTATTTAATGGTTCTAATGATTTAATTAAGCTTTTAACTTGATATATGTGATGACCGGGACAT